TCATTTTAGTCATTACTTGAGTTACTAATAATCTAGCAATTTACAGAAAGGTTTTCACATCTTTATTATAATCTGCTTAGGTTATTTATTTATTTTTTGAGTAGTAACGATTGAGCCAGGAATTTTCCACTGAGCTACAGTCCCAACAATCTTTAATTTTTAATTTGAGGCAGAATTTCATTCTGCTGCTAAGTTGCCCAGGCTGAGCTCCAACTTGTGATCCTCCTACCTCAGCCTTCACACAGGGCTTCTATAGACACCTTTATATACCTAGGAATTCCCTGTTAACCAAAGGGAGGGGAAAACAGATCTCTCCCATCTGCTTCAAACGGTTTTCTTTATTTTAAAAATGTTTCTGAACTGAAAATAATACCCTGTATCAAATTACAGGAAATATAAGTATGTTGTGGTCCCATTTTCCACAGGAGATAGTTCATTTTACATTGAATATGTTTTTAATCATTTTAACACAAAATGGTAAGTGTAATTTTGTGTAATTCTTCAAATTGTTTTCTAAATAATCATTACAGTAATGTACCTTCTCTGTCTTAGTGTCTAATAAGCAAGAAGACATAGGAAGTCACAGTGGAGAGAAACGCTGATCGCCCTTCCCCACTCAGCTGCTCAGTGATTGGAAAAGCCTGTGATGGTCTTACCACCGTGAACTGCAGCAGGAAGAACACCAACAGCCTGGGCAGAAGGGATTTTAAGCCTATTTTTTTTTCTTTTTTTCACTGAACAGTTTTTAGCAGAGTTAAGCGGCAGTCTAGCTATGTCATTTTAGAAATTAATAGGATGGTTTCTTTTTACAACTCTAACGAAATAAAAAAATGATGGGTGGAATTTTAGATTTTAGGAAAAGATTCTTTTGAGCTAAAGAAAATTAAAGGCTATTGTCACATCCAAGGTACAAGTGCAAATCTGAGGGTATTAATGCTATGAATCATGGCCTTTTCAGTTTTTAAAGTAGTTTTTTTGTATGGACCATGATGAGATTTTAAATTGACATTATTTCTAGAACCCTGAAAGGCTGGCATGAGATTATTATTATTCAAAATGATCTATTTAAATTGTTGCCTAAAACTCTTACAATTCTGCAACTTAATTGATTGCAAATTAAACTCACCTCCTCCTTATTCTTCAAAAATGTATGGGTAATCACTTCATCAACAATGGAACTTTATTTGAGAAGAAATAAATACATTTTACTTTGTAACTGTTACAGAAATGTAAAGTATTAGGCAAAGATTTTTTTGGCACATCATTTCGAATAACAGAAACGTGCAATATATTTTGTTGCATTTACTTAAAATCATGTCTAGATTAATAGCACTGGCAGTTGAATAGTGCTAGTTATGAGTGCACAATTATTTTCTAATTATTAACATTTTCCACTTTTTTATATGAAGTGTACTCTCATTCGAGTGGAAATGTAGCACCAGTTATATTCCAAAAGTTGACATTTCCTGGAAACTCTATGCAGCAGCAAAGAAAAACCAAAGAAAGAAGCAACAAAGCTCCAAAAGCATCTCTTTTCAGCAAGACTTGGAAACAAAAATAATATGAAAAGTAAAAACTTGGTATATTAGTCAAAATAAGTGGAACAAATGAAACTTACATAGATGGTCACAAGCGCTCAGAATCACAGACTATTGAAAGGGATCTAAGATATGCTGATCACAAAATATATGGATGGACATGAATTGTCATTCCCAGGAGACGCCACACCTTATTAACTGCTTTGAACAGCTCTGCATTCTCAGAGGGAGCCGTGACTGGCAAGGACGTTACTGAGAAAAGTTACCCCCTTACAAAATTTCAAATGAATCATTTTAATGAAACAATGCTTCAGTTCACGTGCTGGCACTAGTTAGCTGTGTGTGTGCAAGCGTTTGTATAGAGATATCTGCAGTGCATATGTTTAAGGTTGTCATTGTATCTTGCTGTTAATACAAAAATAATTGGAAATGACCCAAATGTCTGTATAACTGTGGCCTAGTTCAGCAAGTGATGGAACATTTACAAGTGAAATATTATACCATTGCTAAAAAGCGAGGGCAGTTTTCACTGACAACCATGCTGTAGTAATTTTAGCAAACTAATCCCTTTTTGAGAGCAACTATAAAAGCTAGTTGAAGAAACATATTGTTCAAAAGGAGCAAAGTAGCGAACACATCGAGCAAGAATGAATGGTACGAACCCTAGAGAGAAAGGCCAGCATACAGTGAACACTGTATCTACCTCTGCTTCGCCCCTCAAGGGGCTTTGACAAGCCGTGTCAGGAGGAGTAGAGGATGAGCCGAAGGTTTCACAGTTCTCTGTAGGCCAGGAGGAAAAAGACTCCTGTCCTGGTAGCCTGCACAGCCAAGACCCCAGGGAACACACCTACAGCACCGCTCTTGATCTTTCTTACAGTGGTATCCACTGGATCCTAAGCTGTCACGTGCAAGGTTACACACAAGAGACCAGGTAGAACGAGGCACCAGGGAGGACAAAGAGTTGAGCACCAGTTTCAGCAGTCTGTGGTGATGCTTCTTTCTGAGTAAGAGGTCAGTGTTGAGTGGTTTGCTGCCGAGGGTCGCTACAGGGGCGCTCATTTCAGCAGAGCCCTCACCTGCTGGAGCGCCGTCAGACGTTCTGAGCACCGCTGAGCCCGGGCAGTGTCCCCGTCCATCTCAGCTTTTCATCCAGCTTTTCATCCTAATCCAGTAGGTGGAAGGATATTTTGTTGCCATACTTTGTTGACGGTGATTTATAGACATTTCATGAAAATGACACAAAGCATTATTTTCTTTTGGTAGCAAAATCAGTTTTGCCAAGGGCAACATTCTCACTTTCCAGCTTGCGTCACACAGTTCTGATTTGCTTTGGCCCCTGAGCTTCACACCGCTTTAGCAACATGAGATCTTCACAAGATCCCCGTATTTGGATCATTTTATAATAAAGCTGGAAGGGAATCTGAAAGGTCCTCATGAAGGCCGACCCATACAAAGTCCTTTCCTAGAACCCCGGCCTTACAAAAGATAAAAGTCCTTTAGCGGTGGGAATGTTTGTTTTCATTCGGAAAGAATCAAAGGGCACAGGAGATGCACGACCAGTGTGACTGGAAGCCTGAGCATCTGACCTCAGTTCTGAGGGCCCCTTGGGCTCTAACGCGGCACAGTTGCTCTCAAAATGCGTCTGGGCCTCTCAGGTCCGCTGGAGGACAGGGACTCACCCGCGGAGAAGCCACTAAGTCAGTTAAAGGGGCTCTGAATGTGGTGGGCGAAAAAGTAAAAGTAACACTAATGAGTGGATCCTAGCAGTCAGTTTATGTTCCAAGTCCAACAAAGAACACAGATGAGGGAGCTTGTGCTCCTGTGGAGGGGACACTGTGGCCGAGTGAACAAGCAGGAGTTTCCCACTGCGTTCTGGCCTCTTTGCTAGGGGACACCTCTCACTGGGAATGGGGAGACTCTTCAACGCTGACAAGCAGCGATTCATCTCCATTGTCAGGAGCTTTCCTCCAGCATTTAAGTGTGCTGCGTAACCATGTGCTTTTCCTATTCCATTAACCTGCGTCCTTTGAGGAGATGTAAGGAATTTAAGGAGAGTTATTATTTCTTCCTTTTTACCCAAGGGAAATAGTGGAAATTTTTTTGAAAAATGACTAATGAATTTTTATACAGTCAAATAGCCTGGGAGACTAAAGCTCTTTATGTTACATACAAAGGAATGTACCTGTAGGAATAGCTAAACATTATTCAAGTGTGTATGATTAATGACGGGAAAAAGCACTGAGGTCATCCTGGAAGGCGCAGAGCAAACGATGTTTCAAAGAGGCCAGTTCACAGGGACTCTCACTGAGTTTCTACGTCTTACTAGATGTACAATTACAAAGGGAAGCTTTGTGGTAGCCGAGACATCTCAGAAGGGAGATAGGCAAGGAGGATTTTATACAGGATCAGGAAATGAGATCTGAGTTCTCCATGTAGTTCTGCTCCTAATAAGCACCGTGCCCTGGTCAGGTCCCCCCGTCACCTTAGGAGTCCTTTGCTGTATCTCTCTCTGTGTCCACAGAGGGTTACATTTCTGACACTTGTTATAATTTGAAAGAAGTATCTAGAGATGCTGTAAAAGTTAGCCATGGTTTGTGATAACAACCTGAGAAGATAGGCAAGGTTCAAAGGGTTGAAGTACAGCTTTGAAATGACCAATGAATTTGGACAAATATTAGAACTTATCTAGGAACTATTTTTCAGTACCAACTATATTCTTCTTTTTTTCCTGTACAGGGGATCGAACTCAGGACCTTGCATTGCTAGGCAGGTGCAGCACCACTGAGCTACATCCGCCGCCCCCTCTAGGAACATTTTTTGTTTTGTGTATTCCATTTGGACTAGGTGGTTTTTCTACCGGTAATATTCGCTATTCCTTTTGCTTTTTTCCAGCAAGAATACTACAGGAAATAACCCAAATCTCTAGATATATAGCATTATTTCTGGAATACTTCTCTGATGACTTTTAGCAAGGATACAGGAGAATGATTCAAGGTAGAAACAACTGTTGTTAGGATAATTACAAAATTTTTTTGCTATATTCTAATGAAGTTTTCTCAGACTTTATGAAAACCAAGCATAAGTTGAAAACCTTAGATGAAATAAAAATTTTTTTATAACATCAACCATTCAGAAGGGGGTAAGAGGTGGTGCAGAGTAGTATTGGAAAGGTAGCTTACATCAACTTTGAAAATAGAAAAAAATTACGAGTATGTGTTCATGGTCAGTGTGACATTAATAATGAGGTATTAGAGAGAAGATCCAACCATCGTCTTCTTTTAAAACATAAGACATCAACTTGAAAGGATTATATTTTATTTGATTGAAGCAGATGACAGTTTAGAATGATAGTTCTAAAGCTTTTTCTTTATTGTAATCTCAATCAGATGAATTTAAACAATTATTAGTTACATTATAATCAGTTTACCTAAATTCTAAGTAAAAGTATGCTATTTTACTTTTTATCAAATCATTTTCAAAATGAGCAGAAAAGACGTGACAACATAATCTAGAAACATTTTCAGAGGAAAATATGTCATAACCCAAAGAATTTTTTCAGAAATGTATCCCGATGTCATAGACACAGCAAGCTACTTGATCATTCCTCACATTTCTGTGTGAAGTATTAGGCTGTGTGAAGTCACAGCCCTGTTTTACACTTGAAGAAATGAACACAGTCCACATAGTAAACCTTCCAAGGTCGAGGTCACTGGTGACAGAATATATTGCTTTGTGTGTGTCTTACACAGTCTGTTGCCTGACAGTGTAGAGTCAGATGCCCACTTGTCAGTGAACCTTAACCGTTTGATGGTACGCCATTCTGTTCTATGAAATTTAAAATAGTTACTGTATTTACACTCTATTCCTTTTCCAGTTGAGTTGAACAGGCAGAAGAGCAATTCAACATTAACCTCTGCTCACTGTCCTGCTCATAAGTTTATCCAGCTACATGAAGGGGCTTTGTAAGTCAGCCCTGAAATTACTCCCAGGATACGCCCCCATAAAAGAGTGTCATTAATCCAGTTCATTGTGCTGTTGGTTTTTGTGGTATGAATTAGCTCTGCCAGATGGCCGAGAGCAACTTCTTTCACAAAACTCACTCAAATCCATTTTTAATAATGAAAGTATAAGATATCCTAGGTTAAAGGTTTTTAGCAAAGCTGACTGATCACTTGAGTGTTCAGAACCATAGCTAGTTGCAGTCATTGAAAATAATTCACCTGGATAATATAGGATCTGGCAAGGTCAGCCTTTGATGAAGATAATTATAATGCCAGAAAAAATAATGTATTTCCTGAGTTACTTTGTCATAAGGTTTTGCAACTGTAAACATTATAAGAGATCACAGAAACATGACCTTAAGAGCTGATAGCAAAACTTTGTAAAGAACATATTTCTATCACTAGACAAAACCATAATTGTCATTTCCTGTGAAGTCAAAACTGTTGATTTCATAGGTGCTGATTATCAATTGCCTTAAATGCTGGTAAAGCATGAAAGCATCCACAATTCAAATGTCTTCTTTAAAGTTTGGTGGCTCTCATATTTTTCCATTTTGAAAAAGAAAGCCTTTAATTTCATAGAAAGAGTGTGAACACTTCCACGAACTGAAAATATTTTTACTTTTGTCATCCATATTTCATGATCTGAAGCTTCACATAGATGACATCGTCATTAGGGCATAGTCTGGAGAAATCTAAAGTTTCTACGTGTCATTTGCTTATATTTGAAACAAACGATGCAACAGACTTGCCTGTTGTGTTGCCTGGCTGGTGTGAATGTGTTAACTGTAGCTCAAGACGAATCTTAGAGGCAAGATTCATCCAGCGTTGACTCTTCATCTCACTGACTCTAAAGTTCAGAGATATCCTCAGCATAAGAGAATCACAAGGAACCTACAGCACTCTGCTGTAGCTCCTGGACATTTCTGCAGTATTACCACCCCTACAAGAGGGATAGACACAAATAGAATGAAACTATTCAGAACTCACTTGTTACATAAGTTGAGTTCAGATACCACATGATACAAAAGAGTCTTTCACCTAAGCTCCTGTATCCTTTAAACTAGAGCGCAGTCTATGTTACCTTTACAAAACCAGTATCTACTGAAGCCAAGAATTTCATTCTGTAAATATGTTAATCACATTGAAAATGACCAGTATGAAGTAAACTTTGTGTACAACCTTGCAGTGAATGGAAACAGAAAAATGCAAGCGGCACCTCTCATACAGCGAACACTAATGACAGATTTTCAGCGTCAGACCCTTCCACAAGTTTGCGTACTATTCAGTCCCTTTGCCCACATCTGGTCTCTACACCAGGCACAAGAGAAAAGTGTCTCAAAGGCTATCAGGATGGCATGCCTTCAATCTCCTGGATCACCGTGGGCCAGATGAGATCCCGTTTTCCCAATCACAGAGCACTTGTAAGGGTCCCGCACGAGCTGTCTACTGTCCTTGTCGCTTCTGTCCTGGAGAACTGGCTTTGCCGCTGTTCTCCCCAGGGCGTGGTGCTGGAGAGACAGGAAACTGAAATCCGTAGCCATTGTACCCATCCAAATAGACACACTGGAAGAAACTGATAGGGGCTAAGGAAGAGGGCATGACAGGTGTTAACGCGTTCAGAATACAAGTGGGAGCAGGCTTGAAGGTGGGGAGATGGGGTGGCGACAATTCCCAACAGGTTACTAAACCTCTCTGAGCCTTGCACTCTTTGTACATACGGCAAATGCGGCAAACTTCACAGAAGTGAAAATTAGAGTCAGCGTACTTGGGCTGCTTAGAATCCTTTCCAGAATACTGGTAAGCTCTTCGTGGACGAGACTACAGGTGTTCTCTGGGAGAACAGCCCAGGGCTTTGTGTACAGGATCTATGGGTGTGCGTGGCCATCACAGAGCACATGTCGGGACATGGTCTGATCCTATGCAAGGGAACGGATGTGTGTGTGTGTGTGTCCTATGTCTCAGCGAGTCACCACCCTGGTGTTGGCACCTTTCCTCCCCCACACCCCTGTTCCGCGCTATTCTGTGTGAGTCTGGTGAGCATGGACTGGAGCCCGTGAATGTCAGCGCAGTGAACCTCTCCTCCTTTCACTCCTGGCATGGGGAATGAGCTCCAGGGATGAGACAGTGATGGAGACAAGCAGTCCCTTCCCGCTGAGCCTTGAGCACTTTTCTGACACACTTATTTAACTGACATAAGCTGGAAATGAGAACATCATATGGACACACGTTTATAAAGCTCACATAAGAGGCTCCAGGATGGAGGCTGCCAATCTATCTCATGAGTTGAAAACTGGATCCCCTAAACAAACTTAAAATACCTGGTGTCTTTTTTTTTAGCTAAAAGTAACTATGTTCTTTTTAAAAATTTTAATTAAAAAATTTATTTTGAAATAATCATAGGAATAATTGTAAGAAATAACAGAGATATCCGAGTTACTTCTACTCAGTTCCCTTTAATGGAAACTTATTGTAAAACTATAACAACACAATGTCCCGATCTGGAAACTGGCACTGGAGCCATCTACTTGTCTACTGAATTATGTTTAGATATTTATTTATGAAATAAGAAGTTTTGAGCGCTTATGCAACATGGAAGCAGATTAAAACCAGTAGGCTAGCAGTTGGGAGACATTGTTGTGCAAACCGGGAACAATCTCAGGCTGATTTATAATTTCTTTTCTTATGGATTTTGCAATAATACTTAAAATTACAATTGGACTATAGGTATGTTTCTCTATGTTTCCCACAACCTGAGTATATTAAGTTTATAATGAGTTTCTTTTATCTGCCACAGTAGTCTCTGCATATAAATCAATACTTGGAACATGGCAGGCACTCCATATTTATCAGTGAGTAAGCTATTAATGGGAAGAAGCCTTTAGTACTGTAAAGGACAGTTTTGCAATTTCCTGTATGTTATATAAGAAGGAATGACGAAACCACAGACATCATTTCCTCAGAAAAAGGTCTCGTTCTACATGATAAGAGCAGGATGTGCCCCAGACTTCAGTTATATCCATTTCAGAACTGTTCCCTGGGATCTGTCCAGGGATGACTCTATTTAATGTGCACGTGGATTTGACATTTATTACTTTACCACCTGAACAAAAAGTCTAATTTGAACACACTGGGGTAATGCGGCTCTTGAACACCAAGTACTGTAACTGCATGTGAACCCTGATTGCATTCCAAAATTAAGGGTTCCAGAGATTGGATATGAAGAGGCTGCTGCAGAGCTAGACAAATCAAAAAGAACTTTGAATCTTAGAAGTGAATTTTCAAGCAATTGAATTGCTAACACCTTTTTCTACATTTCTGTACTTGATATAAAAAATTCATATCAGTTCAACTGATATATTATACAGAAGATATAACACACATCAAAGCAAGGCTGAGCTAGGGTACCGGCATCAGAGCTATGTAGAAATGGCTTACAATAGAGACTACTTCACTCATCTCTCCTGATTTTCCCAACGCTGCTTCTGGGCTGACACAAAAATGACAAATTTGTCCTTGAAATATGTGACTTATTTTAATGTGACTCTCATATCTATGCTAAAAATCTTTTTCCTTAAAATACTGGACTTCTAGAGAGGATTGAAAGTTTAAGTCTGTATATACCATCTTTCATGAAGGACGATTTAATAGTTTGGATCTAATTATGAACTTACTTTTCTGATTCTTTGAGGAAGATACATCTTCAGTTTCTTCTAGTGCACATAAAAATAAGAAAAATGAACACTCGTGGATATTACAGAAACATTTGTGGCTCTGAGCATGACTACACAAGGCCACAGCACAAAAGAAACATGAGTTAGTTACCCGCCAGGTTTGTTTTTGGATTCTGTTCAGTCTTTCGGCATGAAGTTTAACAGGCAAAGTGAGAAGAGCTAACGGAAGAGGCAATGCCACACTCCACATGCTTGCTCCGATAGGACAACTGGGCCCTGCGTGCTGGAGACTGGCAGGTGAGAACTAGTGCCCATGTTTGCTTCCCGAGAGGAGATCACCGCTCCTCCGAGTACCAGTATAGGAAGGATACAACATAGCTACAAGCCCTCTGCCTCTCAAACATCAATTTTTTTACTGGCCTGGGCATTCCATACTCTTCTCTTTCAGCCACTCCAAAACAGATCATTAGTGGGGACCTTTCTGGGCTATAGAAAGTAAATCTTCCTCTCTGTGTTGTGGTGCCCTTGTCTTAACTTGTTTTCTGCCTGCCCTGCAGCTCTTCCTGGTCTCCAGTGAATACTCTCCACTCTGTTGTATGAAATTGACCTTCTCAAATGATCGAGGACCATTTTCTGTGTCTAGGGGATTTCACTTAACACAATGATGCCCCCTTCCATTCATGTTGCTGCAAATGACAAGAGTGTGTTCTTTCTGTGGCTGTATGACGTCTCATTGTACAACTTCACCACATTTTCTTTATCCATACATCCACTAATGGGCACCGAGGTTGCTTCCATATCTTGGCTACTGTCTGTGAACAGCTCGGCAGAAAATACGGGAGTGCAAGTGCTGCTCTGCTGTGATACACGCTTCAGATTTGTGCTCAGTGTGGCACTGGTAGCTTGCACAGTAGTTCTACTTTTTAGTTGGTGAGGATCTCTACAATAATGACTATACTAATGTACATGCCTACAAAAGGTGAAGAGTTCTCTAGAAGACTGTCTTAGTACTGTGGCAATATAGACTGTATTCATATTCATTTCCTTTTTGACTCTTAGTAGTTGGTGAGGATCTCTACAATAATGACTATACTAATGTACATGCCTACAAAAGGTGAAGAGTTTTCTGGAAGACTGTCTTAGTACTGTGTCAATATAGACTGTATTCATATTCATTTCCTTTTTGACTCTTCTCTGCAGTGTGTTTCATATTGGCAGGCAAGTGTGGACTTTGTCACAGAATTTATACTTTAACGGCAAGAACAATTCTTCAGCAAACTATTATTATCCACAAAAGTGTTGAACGTGGAACAGAAATACTATTTCATACTGAGTCAAACTCAGCATGAGTTTGTGGCAACTTTTCAGGAAGCAAGATAAAAAAAAAAAACCCCACCAATTCAGTTCAAGCCCTCACAATACAGATGAAGACATATTCTTCTGGAAAGATTTGATCAAGGTCATAGGTTTGATCAAACAGGGTTTTCTGAGTATTTGTCCTGTATTTTGGAAGTTTGGTGTCTTTTCTTCATTTTGTTTCCCTTGGCCTTTCTCTCTCTTTTCCCTTCCTCCTCCCTTCCTCCCTTCCTCCCCTTTCTCCTTCTTTAACGATAGCGCTGCTAGTACAGTAGTTTTATCTTTATTAATAGAAACTCATCTTTGATGCAATGACAGTATTCTACTCTTTGATACAGGGGTAATTTTTTTGACCCTTGATGCCATGATGTTTTGGAAGGAATACTCCTGTGGATTAGTCGGTAGGTGCTCCTGATAATGATGAATACATAAGTAGTGCCTAACCAGCCTATTTAGTATGAGAGAAAATATATTATCTAAATAATAAAAGAACATTTTATTAAGAAAAATATGTCTAACTGTGTACACTTTGCTTAAAAAAGCTGGCAACTAGGTCAGGAATATTTGAATAAAATAAGACAGAGAAAACATCACAGTCTTGAGAGGAAACATGAAAAAGAGCTCAGGATAGCAAAGTTACCTTTAGCTTCCTTTGAAGCTGGTGCATCTTCAAAATCTTTTCCTAGGATGCAGAAAAAAGGCACATAAATTTACAGTCTGATGTTTCAGTTTTCTCAGAGTGGTAACTTTGTTTTAAAGGCCTTTGAGAGGCAGAAGACCTCAGTCTAGAAGCTCAGCATCCAGTGTTCTGTGGGAGCCTCTGACAACACGGTCCTCCAAGCCCAGAGGGGATGAGCGGGGAACACACAGTGGTACCTGGTCACCACAGAGAAAAGGCACACTGTCACCTTCCCTACAGTCCGCTCCGATGTGGCTCCCCTCTGACTTTGAAAACCCTTTCAAAAGGTCATATTTGTATTTCCGGTTTAGGAAATTTGAGGTAAATGGCTTCATACACAGGTTAGGTCACGGAATGAAACCCACCCAGATCATTTCTTAGCAGACTGATGGGGATTTCAGCCTTTTTGGCAATTCTAAGAATCCAAGAAAAATCGATGTTAATCCTTGATAAAAGCACAGAAACACAATGGGAGCACATAGTCTCCTCTGTAAACAGTGTGGGGAAACATATGCACAGACAAAATGATTACATTGGAACTTTATCTTCGATCATACACAAAAAACAATTTAAAATAGATTAAATACTTAAACATGAGGCCCCAAACTGTAAGAATTATAAAAGAAAATATAGGAGAAAAGCTCTTTGACCATGGTCAGGCCAGTGACTTTGTGGATGTCAAAAATACAGGCAACAGAAGATGTCCAGGTGTCCTTCTGCTGTCCTGAACAGGGAAAGGGACACAATCAACAAAATAAACAGGCAACCTGTGAAATGGGAGAGAATATTTGCGCATCACATACTGACAAAAGACAAATATCTGAAACATATAAGAAACTCATACACCTTATTTTAAAAAGTACCCAAATTTTAAAAAGTTTTTAAAAAAGACACACAGTTGACCAATAGGCAATACAATGTATTCACTTAACATTGTTAGTTATCATGGAAATGAAATTAAAATCACAAGAAGATGTCATATCTGTCTGATGATTATTGTCAAAAATTCAAATAATAAGTGTTGGCAAAGATTTAGATAAAGGGAACTCGGTGCTGTTGATTGGAATATAAACTGGCACAGTCATTATGGTAAGAAATATGAAGGATTCTCAGAAAATTAAAAATATAAATACCATGTGATCCAGCGGCCTTGTTTGTGGACATCTGTCTCTCCATGTATTTACCTATTATACTGTCCACCTGCAATTTTCTGAGAAAGAAAGTTTTAAATGTTCTCTCTCTCTCTCTCTCACACACACACACACACACACACACACTCACACAGAAGTCAACTTTATACCATGATGGAATTGTTAATTAGCTTAAATTTGATAATCCCGACATAACAAATATGTAAATCTAAATATTACTGTGTATATCTTAAATATATGTAAATTCAAACTAAAGCTTAAATAGATAACAAATCGAGTTTTATCATGTAATGTTAATTAGCTTAAATTTGATAATCCCGACATAACAAATATGTAAATCTAAATATTACTGTGTGTATCTTAAATATATGTAAATTCAAACTAAAGCTTCAATAGATAACAAATCGAGTTTTATCATGTAAATCACTTAGCCTTTTGCACAATCAACCACGTGCACATACTGGGATAATGTGGAAGTAATTACAAGTCAGAGGTGATGCTAATAAAATCGAGGAATCTTTTAATTTTATTGCAAATTTTAGTTCTTATGAATATCTAAAAGAGGTCTAATTTTGGATTATTTGTTTATACTTTGCATGCTACCCATAAAAAAGGGGTAAAATGGGTCACTATGCAAATTTTCTCTAAGAGGGAAGAAATGTGGAAGAAAATTAGCAGGATTTCACTGTACATTATTAAAGTTTTGATATGTTTTAAAGAACATTTGCGAGGTATGATTGGAAGTATGGTAAATACATACATTTTGAGAACATATTACAGTGCAAGACACATTGCCATTAATTCTTCTCAAAATATTCCTCTTCACTTCAGACACACTAACCATATTCTGAAGCCATTCCCAAAGTCCTCTTTTGTGAATATCTTTAATGCTGTCATGGCTGCTTTTGGTCCAGAATCTTTTCAAAACGTGTCCCAGAAGCCAGATGTGGCAGATCCTTTCAGTAAGGTGTAAGGTGGTACATACATGCCTTTCCACTAGATGGCGCTGAGAGCAGAATTCACTGCATTTTTTATTCCACCTTGTAAAGTTGGTGGAAGCTGTCACAGAATTACTTCAGAAAATGGCGGCAAGGATGATGAGATGTGTTTGAAACAAGGGTAATATTTTGATGAAGATTAATACCAATGTGTTTTTAATATAATTTTTAAAAATTTTAAACTTTTACTGCATATTTTGATACACCTTAAAACTGGTATTTAGATTCTGGAAAAATTAAGGAAAGACAGAAATTATATGATGTCTTCACCTGATATAGTACTGTAACTATATCTTTAAAATGTCAGAGTATCTAATAGAAAACATTCTACTTTCTTTCAGTAAGAATCTGTTTATTTCTGTGGAAGAATGACACAAAAATAAAACGAGGTCAGGTCTTTTTTCCACAGAAACATACATTTTATTTTTGTGGACTTTAGCACACAACACTAAATATTTATTCTCTGAATTCACTTATTTCACCTGGAGAAATAAGTTTGAGAATGAGAACCTTCATATCATAAAATTTTGCATTCTGATAAGTGTAGCCGGCTATCAGGGATAAATTCTGCTGGAGATGGAGCCTGTGTGGGTTGTGCTTGCTGCCAGGATGGACAGAAGCCAGAGGAGGCAAATTGCAGGCTGACATGAGTTCCTAGGAAGATTCAGCCTCTGTGTAAGCAACTTCACAGCAACAAAAATTTACTGAACAGAGTTAATGTGCTTCAATCATCACCATTCAGAGCTCAGAAAAGGAAGAAGGTACTTGTCATCCATTTACACTTGCAACTTGCACAGTGACTGAGTGGTGGTTTTGATAAAACAAATACTCAGCTCTGAAAACGTCTAATCACCACACTGAAGGGAGAATCAAAATGTTCCAGTGGGATTTAAAAAATGATTTAATGTTGTGGGGAGGACTGTCAGGGAACTCACTTAAGAAGAAAGCCAAATTCACAATGGGCCTTAAAATAATGTAACAGAAGGATCAGATGACAAATTTCAGGTAAAGGTAATAGTATAAAGAAAGTCAAAGACAGCTAAAGGTGGAGATATTCTGGAAGTGCAGGGAAGCTCTAGAAAGGTTGGACAAGGTCATCACATGGAAGATCTCATTTGTCAGGCCAGAGTCTGAGCTGTATTTCATATTCAGTGAAGGTTGTTCAGTAAAGAAATAATATGCTATTTGGGGAAAATCTAATACAGTATTTGGGAAAAGTAAATTAGACTAGAACATAAGAGTAGATTCAGAGAAAGGATAGCAAAGTATTTAAACAACATAGAAATAATGATTTCTGCAAGTAGACATCACTAAGATGGTGAAGGCAGACAAAAAATTTACAGGGAAAGTTCAAAAGTATTAATTATGCATGAGTGCAAAAGATCAGAACAATTTTAATGCCACCTGCTGGGCTCCACTGGATGATTTTCTTGTGCTCACCCTTCCACTGCTGATTGGAACAGGATGAGGTAGGTGCTCTTCTACCGAATCTCCTGTCCAGATAGGGCAGAGACTCAGTGCTTCCACAGTCCCAGAGCGCGTGTGTGAACCAGCATCCCTAGACTGGGTGTGCTCTTCTACCGAATCTCCTGTCCAGATAGGGCAGAGACTCAGTGCTTCCACAGTCCCAGAGCCCGAATGTGAACCAGCATCCACCTAGACTGGGGCCTCTTAAATGAAGATTTGTATTTATTTTGTGAACCGTGCACCTGTTCTATGCTCTGCCTTGGTCTAAGCACTATACTTATGGACAAATCTCACCTCCTCAGGAAACCTTTGAAGAAAACACTGATACCACTGCTACTTCCCAGTTTACAGATGGGACCTTCAAAGGCCAGTGAGACTTAAGATCCCCACAACATGTAATTAAAGGACTCAGCCACTGCAGCATCAGAGGCTGTGCTTTCTCTTTAGGATAAACTTCTAAGAACTGTTTTGGATTTGAGAATCCATGTGTTGTACTTCTCATGTGAACCTGCTGCAGGCCTCGAAGGAGTCCAGGTATACGGGAGCCTTGGCCATGTGCAGCAGACATGAAGGCGGAGGCTTCTGCTCACCCTTCAAGAGCAGATCGTGCTCTGTGTGTCTCTCTTCTCCTCCATCTGTTCCTCCTTTGGAGGAAAGAACTAGCAGAGTGTTTTGCCTTTGCAAAGGATAATGACACAGATGAGATGAGTATAGTACCTGCTTGGTCTGCCCTACTACTGTAAGTGACTTGGCAGTCCATCAGTAATAGAAAATGCACTATGTTGGCTTTGCAATTGTAGGGTCCATCCTTCACCTACATAGAAGTTTAGATTCCAAACGAGCTCCAGCTCTCAGAGAAACCATCTTCTTTGTAAAGCAGACACTGCCACCATTACAGGGTCAGAAATGATGAGAGGTCTTATCTGGAGGAGGCACTATTTCAGGGTTTTTAACATGCTGCTTTCAAGGGCTGGGCTTTATTTTTATCACTCTTATATATGTATTGAGTTAACAGATACAGATTCAAGGATGTTTCAGTAGGTATGAGTGAAACCAATAAAATGATCATGATAGGACTGGATTTGGTACTTTTTCTTGTTGTATCTTCTCATTAACTGAAGAAATTTTATCTTTATCTCATTCTACAATCTGTCTTACCTAAAATTAAATGCTACCAGTAAGGGATCATGAGAAATCAGTCCAACACCTCCTAGATAATGCAAAGAAGAATAGCATAAGACTGATAGGAATCCATGAAGTAGCAGGAGAAAATGCAGATGACTTTTAAAAGCTGCTCACAGAATTAATGACCGAAAACTTCCCAAACGGAGGGGAAGAATTTGACATACAGATAAGTGAGGCATATAGGACTCCAACTAGCCATGAT